AAACAGTATTGACACTCATACGTGCACAATTGAATAAAGCATCAATATATATATGTTGTTTTCTTTTTAATTGTTAGGGTGATTTTCTTTAGCCAGTCATGTCAGCCTTAAAGGTCCTTACACATATTTATTAATTTGCTTTGCAAAATTTATATGCATATTCGCTTCGCTCCCGGTGTGTATAGGCGAAAGCGATTTTTCGGACCGGCGGATATTTGCATTTTCGTCTCGCTTTTTCGCTTCGCTCCGCAAATTCGCCAGTGTGTAAGGACCTTAAGGGTGGTGGAGCTGTGTCACTCAAATACCTCAGATACTTTGGTGCTAGATTTCTGGGGCCATGGGCCTCCGACAACTATCCTCAACAAGGACCTTGTACCCATGTTTACCATCACTCAGACTCCCAAAATATGTTGTGCTCTGTTATTACTCTACATGGACTCTCCTTTAGGTCAACAAGATGCAAGTGGAATGTTTGGAAAGGTGAACGACTATATATACTTGAACAGTCTCAGACCAATTGTTGTTACAACTGTGTTACACTTGTGGCATGATGAAGCTGTAACCCAGATCTGCAACCAGTAAAGCTTGTCAAAATGATTATTCGTGTGGACCTTCCATTCTTTCAAGTGTGAACATGGGCTAGGCATCCTTACATTAATATCTGTCATTAAGATTTCTGCAGATTACTGTCTGAGTGCCATAAATAAAACATATATGCTTACACTCTCAGTCAGGCCCCAATGTGTGCAAAGGTGCAAGGGTCTGTTCATCGCTGCTTGCAGCTTTAATTAGTTGTTGTAATGGAAACATAATGTCAGACCATAAAATGACCCAGTCAGTGTCCTATAGAGGTATTACTGCCAGTGTTATATATTAGAGAGGAAGTATACCCCATATATAGCAGGCTGTTTGGCACCATTTACACTGTTTTAAACAATAGGGCTCTTTAAATGATGGGTCTGAATGACCTGCAAAGGATCATGGGAATCAAAGGGCATCAATAATGGAGCCTGTGGTGTCTTTTCCTCTATGAGTCCACTGGGACGCTCTCCACTTCCCACAATTCCCAAAAGGAATTATGTCAGAGTCACAAAGAAAAAGTCATTACAGTCGACCAATGCGACCAATGTGTGCGCTTCTGTGTGTGTGTGCGTGTGTGTGTGTGTGTGTGTGTGTGTGTGTGTGTGTGTGTGTGTGTGTGTGTGTGTGTGTGCTGCAGCTATTAACACCCTCCATCAAAAAGCAATGGAGCTTTTCAGATGTTGTGTAAATCAAATGAACACTGCAGACACCTCTGAAGAGATGACATCAGTTTATATTTGCATTGATCTGTCACTGTTTGCAGCAGGAGTAATTACCACGACTTGTTTTTTCAACACTCGGAGAAACACTCGCCCAGATGTAATCAATTTTTTCACATTGAGGACATCCTCCAGTGCTCCCACCCTCCAAACTGCCTCATCCTGTTCATTAGAAATCTCATTTATTAGACAACTCACTCAATTTAAAGGGACCTGCAAAGCTTTTCTTTCAACAAAAACATTGTTATTCTTACTCACCTGTGCATGTGGCAGTTAGCTTTTCTCCATTTTTAAATTATTATGCATGACAAACAACGGTAGGAGTTGTGTCTGTGACATGTATGAGTTCAACCTATAGTAGTCATTCTGTTCATGTTGTGATGATTGAGAAATCAGATGTCTGTGGGATTGCTACAACTCGGCCTTAAAAATGTTCAAAGCAAACTGGAGTAAAGAATAAAATCAAGTTTGTCTGGACAAAACGAGATTTCCAAAAATGTGACCCAGAAAGCAAAGACACCTTTTTGTGACACCATTTCTTCACAGCAGTCGTTGAAACCCTGTCCAATGCAAAGATGTCGACATTTCCCACTGTTCTTATTCACCATAAAAGCTTAGGAAGCAAAAAAAAACTCTTTACATAGGGGATAAGAACCAAAACCAAGACTGGATGGTCCTGGTCGTAGGACTCTTGGACAGCACTGCACTGAAAATGGACAGGACTCTGGAGTGGAAATTACTGCATGCAGTAAAATCCTTTCTAAAAACCATCGTCTGTGAACAAAGGTCTTAGCTCCCAGTCCAAAGCCAGCATCCCTAATGGCAGTGGTTCTCAATCCAGTCCTCGAGGTCCACTGTCCTGCATGTTTTGGATGTTTCCCTGCTCCAACACACCTGATTCAAATGATCAGCTCGTTATCACCACTGTGACACCCGCCATCACATTATCGTTACCATCTATGACTGATAAAGTGATCACTGTTTTTAAGTGTTTCACACAAATATAAAATACTTGGGTGGCCGCCCAAGTGTATTTAATGCCGTTAGTTTATTTTAACCCATTTATGATTACCATCTTATCACTGTAATCATTGGATATGTTGTATTTGTTTTGAAGTAGGGTTAGAGAAAGAGGAGGGCCTGTGTCTCTGCTTCTGTCTGTGAAGGTAAATAAATATTGTCTGTCACAGTACAGTTACCCTCTGTCTGCAGGAGAGAGAAAGAAAGACTCCAAAAACTGCTGATTTTCTCAGACACTCCCTCTGACTTGATCACGGCCTCCTTCTGTGATCAATGGAGATGACAAGGGCTGCAATTTAAACAATAGGACCAATCAGGAGCCAATCAGAGCAGCTGCTGATTTGACCTGTAGAGAGCTCATCAGCATTGTTATAAAACAGTCATTCAATCAGTGGAGAGGTCAAACAGGACATCATGTTCTTTGGACACATTGTCTGAAATAGTTTTTATAATATGCAGAAAAAATGGCAGAATGCTTTGATTTCTTTCATGACAACTGTTCAAATCAGAAGTTTTACAAAAATCAAACAGCTTTCCAGGCTGTAAAACCCCCTCTTCCCTAAAACTGCACTGGATGTACGTCACAGAGGTCAGACTCTGCTGCAGCATGAGTTGCAGTGTTGGTCAATGGTCATCTTCAGGCTTTTTAGTGCACAGAGGCTCAAAAAGCAGCAGAGATTAATCTCAGTCACACAGAATAAAGAGACAGAGTGATGAAGAGCATGAGGATGAAAACAGCAGTCAGAGTGTTTCCGACAGTGACGATGATCCTCACAGGCGACAGCTGCTCTTCAGCAGCTGCTCGGCCACGAAGTAAAGGTCGCGACCTCTGGTATGATTTGATAAGAGGTGAATGTCTCGTCAGAAACACCACAATGAAATATGACAGCTCCCCACTGCAGAGGATAAAATTTGTGAGAGCGCAACTGGGCAGAAACTAGAGACCAGTTAGCAGAGTGAACAGGGTTTTTGTCCTCACATGAACCAACACAAAAAAATCACAACAGATCAGCCTGCAGATCTGCTGCATCACCATTTAAAACAAATCACTGTCTTTTGGGAATTAACTTTAAATTATAAGGATTTAAATATTCAAGAATGTGTTTTTAATGGTAATTATAAATATTGGTTTGAAAAAGTGCTCTGAAATAAAGCTCATCGGGCTGCCAGCATGAAAAAGAAAACCATCAGCTGACACAGCCTAACATTAAATAAAAAAATGTCCTCTATATAAAGCTGCACAGAAACACACAACTGACGAATTATGTTACTGTTACTGATGGGGTTTGAAATTTAGTTACGCAAAAGAGAAACAGCTTTTAAAAGCTTCTTCCAAAATCTTAAAAAGTCAAAGAAACTCAAAACTAAAGAGTGCGTCATGTGTCAGCGGTCACATCGCTGTACTTGAGTCTGGTCATGTTGAGACTGTGTTTCCTGCAGAGCCGACAGCAGCTGACAGGACTGACGCCACATTTCAGGTTTCAGAGCATTTCATCACTATTGTTAGTGATCATGATTCATGTGTCTTCATGCTCCCATGTCCTCTCTCTCTCTCTCTCTCTCTCTCTCTCTCTCTCTCTCTCTCTGAGACTGCTTATGTTATTAGTGTGTGCAGAGAGACAAGTAGCATGATGGACTGAATGGCAGTGATGTCACCAGTGGGACAGACCAATTAGTGATCATTGTTACAAAAAACAGCTGTTATGGAGCATATATGGATTTGAGAGACACAAAAAGGGACACAATTATTCATTGAGCCATGGTTGGACAATTTACTTTTTATCAAACAAAAATATCCTCCAGTCACTTTCTTCAGAAGTTGATGAAAAGAGCTCCTGCCATAGAAAGGGAAATGGTTTCAGTAATTATACATGTTAGTACTTCATAAGTCATGTATATGAATCTAAAGTGAAACTGAAGGCCTGGTACAACATGACACAACTTCAAGAAGTATAGCCTGGTATGTGTGAGCAGATCAGCTTGGTGCCTTAATATCACCAGGAATATTAGACAAACACTGCCACCAACTGACAAAATCAAAACACTACAGTCATAGAGGGGAAACAACAACACCTAATACAGTAGCTGCTCCTCAGTTAATTTCAGTGTCTCCTTGCATCCTTTCCTTAGGTTTTGGTGAAACATGGGGACTGAAAAGGGGGAAGAGGAGACAAATCAGTTCAATGAGTGAAGTCAGGAAGTGATGATCAGACTCATTATTAGATTATATTTCTATGATTTTGCTGCCCTAATTTTTGGTTGTTTGGACTAATTTAAATAAGATTAGACTGTAAACATGTATTTAACTGCACAATTGAAATTACAAATAGGAGTAGCCTACTTTTCATTCCTTGAACCCTTATTTATTTGAATCTTGAATATTTTCCTCAGTTTAAGGATAGCACGGTTGCTTTGGAACGGCAGATTCAAAGGTTGACATCCATGTAAAAAAAAAATTGTTGTAGGCTATTTTTATTACACCTTATTGAAGTGTCATCAGTTCCTAAATCGCTTGGGTAGAATCATCATTAAAAACACTCGTTTCCCCAATAGCCCGTGTAAATATGCGCGCACTCTGATAATTAAATTAAGCCCCTTGTTTCCTGTTTCACTTTATTTTCCAGTGGTATTTAAACGCCTCTAAAACATATTTTTAGATGTGAATCCAGTCTTTCCTATGGTTTTGAACGCATCATATCCGCGCATGCCTGTTCTAGCTGCTGCAGTTCTCTGAAGAATTAAGTCACACTAAGGTAATTCTCTGTTCTCATTTAAGTCAAACTCATATTTGTTGACACTTTTCTTACTCTTACTGCAAACCAATAGACCGTTTTATGTTGAAGTGGCTGGGTGAGTAAGCCGTGGTCATGTTAGCCATGGCGTATGTTTGTTTAGGACAGTTTATTAGCTGAATGCTAGCTCACGGGCTAGCTGTCACTAAGATATTGTTTCGCATTTTGTCATCTTTCTTTTTCACTTCAATTCCGCAAAGACAGTTTTGACAACTTAAGCCACCTACCTGTCGAATGTTACTGATGTTAGCAGCATTTTCGGTTTACGGGGTGATTTACGTTAGCGTCGACTTTAAGTTTACCGGTGTTCTATCAAATAATGCATGCTGTCGAGAAAAGGTTCTAATACGTCTACGCCTGCCCAGAGAACGGGAGCCAGCTACCACATTGAATATATCTCCCGAAGATTTTGATAGAAATTCTGTTGTAAACTATCAAAATATGCTCCGTATATTCTGCTATGGGAAAATAAGTGATGTAACAAAGAGAGATTCCATATAGTGTGTATTATATCAAAGGGGATATTGACCGCTTCTGCTGTCGATTCGTGGAACGGGAGCACTTGCAGACAAGGCAGCTGAATTGGACAGAACACCAAGCCAAACAGAGCCGATAGTGTCGGTGTCATGAATACCAGCCTAAAACATACTTCAATGAAAATGTGTGTTTAAAATGTGAAGTTTTGCAAAACGGTTGGCAAAAATTCCCGGGTGCTTACCTGATCATTATGTTTTCTGACCTGTTTGAACGCACCTATATATTATTTAAATTTGACTAGATTTGGGCGAGAGACCTCAGTTTTGAGTGATGTAAAGGGATTTAAAAGACATACTTGTACTGAAGCAAAAACTATTCAGTAGCACTTGTTTTAGACTACCATGTGTTAAAAAAAGCCCATAATTGATTGAAAACAGCAAAGAAAACACATAAAATGTTTGGGTTGATTTTCTCTTTAAAAAGTATTTGTAGTATTTTTAATAGTTTAAACGGGGTTTAAATGGACTAACACCACCAGTTTTATTTTTCTATTAATATTTTGTTCATGGCTCTGCTATTTTTTCTAAGTTAGTGTTGTTAAAAGGACATTTTAGATTAAAAAATAGTAACAATAATACATTTTCTGACTTTTAACTTAAAGTTTAAATGTGAGATGGAAATATTACAAAGATTTACGAACACACTAGTGCAAAGTATGATATTTCAAGAGTGTAAACATATTAATACAATTATTTCAGTTGTGTCCAGACAAGATATGTTAGTTTTCCTGGGTTAGGACACAAAAGTCCTTTCAATTTTGTTGTCCCAGGAGTCAATACCCTTTATTTATCTGCCTTTGTTATAAACATTATTCAATTTTTCCACATCTGGAACAAATGACTAATATGACATTACATTAAAGCTGCTGTTCTACGTGAAAAAAAGCTAAGAGTACTATTTCAGGAAAGTATGTGTGAAAAGAATCAATACTGATTGACTGTAAGCATTTGTCACACAGCTGTTTTTCTATAATTCCACACATAAGATATTATAAATGTTAATTTTCCTTTTTCATCACCAGCTGTGTTCTTGTGTCTTTTCCAGGTGTGGCCATGGGGGAGTCTTTTTCCCTCTTCTTTAAGCAGAGTGGACACGATGAGGGTCAAGACATCCTCACGTCCCCTCTGGAGGACAGCCAATCTGAGGAAGTGAAGAACGGAGACGTCTCCCAGTTTCCTTATGTGGAGTTTACAGGACGGGATAGCGTGACGTGTCCAACGTGTCAGGGCACAGGGAGAATCCCAAGAGGTAAGATGGCTGTGTTCACAGTCAGGATGAGTGAGTCTTTAGATGTCTGACTTTTAAAACCTCATGATTTTGTAATGTCTAGTTTTAATACTTCTCTAAACTGAGGGCATGTTGCAAGAAAACACAAAGACTAAGTTTCCCAAACAGCTGACTGTGACTCACTGATTGTTTGTTTTTCAGGACAAGAAAATCAACTCGTGGCATTGATTCCATACAGCGATCAGAGGCTGCGGCCAAGGAGGACGTGAGTACTGCTCTTTGTGTCACTGTGAATAGAGCAGCTGCGTTTGAAGTGACACAAAGCTTTAGAAGTAAACATTTCTGGAGCGCTGTGTCAGTTCAACTCACTTCTAGGTGTTTCTCAATTGTCATGTAGTAACAGTGTCTTAAAACTCTGTTATCCGATGAATTTAATCTGCATTAATGAGAGTTTTTGCAGATTTTTCTCTAAAGTAGTTGATTGTGAAATAAATCCACTTAGCCTAAACCTCCTGGTCAAAGATTCAAATATTGTTTTTCGAATGTTCAGGTAAAATAAAGACTAAAAAGCAACAATCAACACCTTCTGTGTTCCTGCAGAGGAATTCAGAGGGAAAGCTTTCATTTGTCTGAAAACGAGTTCAATCTGACAGATTTTCTGTAAACAGAGTGACAAAGTCCAGCAAACTCCTGCTCTGTTTGAGCCAGTTTTCCAATATGCACAATTATAACCGGTTGACTGATCATTTGATTATGTGTTAGAACACTGAAAAAAAATTCAACACAACACTTTTGTTTTTGCTCCCATTTTTCATGAGCTGAACTCAAAGATCGAATATTTTTTCTGTGTACACCAAAGACCTATTTCTCTCAAATATTGTTCACAAGTTTGTCTAAATCTGTGTTAGTGAACATTTTTCCTTTGCTGAGATAATTCATTCACCTCACAGCTGTGGCATATCAAGGTGCTGATTAGACTGCATGATTATTGCACAGGTGTGCCTTAGACTGGCCACAGTAAAAAGTGTTGCATTAATATCTTTGTTCAGTGTATTTATGAATTTCTAAATTTGATTCATTTTTTTTATATCAAGTTGAGGTTTAGAGTCCTGTCTTTGGATTTGTAGTGAACCTGGTGTGTTGGAAGACTTGCACACTAATTTTGTGTGTGTGTGTGTTTTCCTTTTCAGGAAGTTGTACGTATCGGCCTCAGTGGTTCTCTGCTTGTTGCTCTCCAGCCTTGCCGTCTTCTTCCTCTTCCCTCGCACCATTGATGTTTCCTACGCTGGGGTGAAGTCTGTTTTTGTCAGCTATGATCAAGCTAAACACAGCGTCTATCTCAACATCACGGTGAGATTTTGAGACAGTTGCACAATAATTTCATAACAATGAGTTTTAAAAGGCCCTGAATGTTGTAGGACAGATAGAGCTCATGTGTGGTTTTCATTTTTTTTTTTCTTTTTTTTTTTGGTGAAACAAAAATGCGTGAAATTGTGTGTCAGCAATAAAAAATTTCATTCATGAAAAGAGAGAAAAAGGGAAATAGATAGATAACTACAATAAAATTATTACTAATACTAAATACAGAATTTAAAAAAGCAAAAAAATAAATATAATAAAATAAATTTAAGGACAAATGTTTTTATTAATAAATATTACATATATGTATGTATGTATGTGTGTACATACATATATATATATATATATATATATATATATATATATATAATATTAAAAACTGAAAAGCTGGAAGTAAAAAACAGAATAATCGCAAAATTGAAATAAAAAAAATTGAAATCAAATTTTAAAAAGACAATATACACAATGAACAAAAATAAAGAAAACTGGATTTAATTTTTTCAATGTCTTTGTATTTTACTGCTTTATAGTACATTACATTATAGTAAGTAATGTCTCTGCTGCCCTCTTCAGGGCAAGTATTTTCTAACTAAAGAGTTGCTGAAAGGTTGGTGTGTGGTTGAAAACTGCTTCCGTTTTTCAAAAAATGGTAAATCTATACCGGGCGTTTTCAATGACACACCCTTAAATACAGATGCTGGTGTTGTATTGGTGTGCTCTGTAAATGCAAAAAAACCCTCTGATGTTTGTAGTTCTTGCAGTTCTCCAGCAGGAGGAGCACAGCACTCTTTAGCAAGTGGCATCTTTGTGCTGTTTGACTCCTTTCCTCCATCAATGACAGAGGAACTGTCTAACAGATGACTTGATCATCAGTGGGTTAAATTGAGTACCCACTTGGCTGTTTCACCATTTAAATGCCTGCTTGTCCTCCAGAACACTCTTAACATCACCAACAACAACTATTACTCAGTGGAGGTGGCCAACGTCACAGCTCAGGTCCAGTTTGCGAAGACTGTGATTGGAAAATCTCGCATCACTAACACCACTGCCATCGGTCCTCTGGATATGAAACAGGTACTGACCCACAGGCCGGCACAGACCTTCTGTTAAACTTTGACTCTGAGCTGATGTCTCCATTTCTGTTTTCAGATTGATTATATGGTCCCAACCATTATCGCAGATGAGATGAGCTACATGTAGTGAGTAACATCAGTAGCTGTTTTTTTATTGTCAGTACAAAGTGTGAAGTTAACAGGTGAGGTGCTTCCTCTTGCTTTTTATTGACAACCTCTCCTCATTCGACATGACTGTCAACATAATTTGACGCAAGAGATGCTAAGCTATGGCAAAAATCCTGATTTTGCTCATTTTTATTGATATTGACGTCGAACAAAACCTACAAAATCCATTCAAAAGGACTAAGAGATATTTCAAGCATTAAAGCATGTATTTCACTTGTGCTTGTTTTAATTTTCAGTGACTACTGCACTCTGGAAACCATCAAAGTCCACAACATAGTCGTCATGATGCAGTAAGTTTGGTCAAGTCATGTGTTTATCCAGGAATTTTCCCAGAACTCCTGAGTTTAAAGTCAGAAATCTGATTTTAGACTTAGACTTACTGAGCTAATCTCAGAGTTTTAAGTCAGAAAGTCAATGCAAAAAATCCAGTTTCATTGTTTTTTTTAGTTCCCCCATGACTTATAGGGTCTTTAAATCGCAGCTTATTCTGTTTGTGTTAAAATACAGATACAGTGCAGGGTCTATCTACAAATTTGGTCACTTTCTTTTAAATCTGTCAGTTTGATTTGTTGTTTGTTTTGATGTTTTTTGTGAATTAAAATAGTTTCAGCATTTAAAAAATAATTAAATTAAAAACAAAACTATATTTAGGCCAGTATGATGCTAAGTTTCATCTAATTATGGCTCATTGAGTAGAGCTGTTCACAGTGGATATCAAATGTGCTGTATTTATTAAATAGGCTCCAAACTTCACAAACTTTCACTGAAATATGTTGAAAAAACTGCTGCAGATTCACATGATTTTACATCTTCAATTTGTCTGTCCTCTCTCCCTGCAGGGTCACTGTCACCACTACGTACTTCGGTCATGCGGAGCAGGTTTCTCAGGAGATGTATCAGTACGTGGACTGTGGAGGAAACACCACCTCCCTCAGAGCTACGATCACCTGCTGAGTAAACCTGAAGTTAGCCTTCACATGTATCACTCCACCTGCAGTATCTGCTCTCACAAAACCACCATTTTTACTCCGTTACTAGAAAAATTCAAAACTAAGAAACATGTGCAGTTCATTCAGAGTTGCAATAAATTGCTGACTTTTAGAGTAACTGCAGAAACGTTATTTTAGTTATGGCACCAACACCTGGAAACAAACCCTGCCAAACTCAAAAATGTAAGTTTTGATTTATTCCCGACATTCAGTGTTAACTTTTAAAGCTAATAAGTCTCCGTTAAATGATTCTGGGGTTTTACTTGAGATGGTATTTCAAAGTTTGATACTTTGGATACTAACTACCCCTGAATTTAAAAGAGATGGTATGCTGTTTAAAATATGTATAAAACAGATAGTACACATTTGCTGACTGTGTCTGGCACATAATCTACAAAAAAGAGCTCTGATGAGATACTTAATACTCGAACCTTTTCAAAAGAAATGTATCTTCATTTTTCAACAACATTCCCAAACTTGTTGCAATAAAGAAACTTAAAGATAGTTAAAAAGCCACCATGACTGCCTACTTACCATGATGGAACTTTAGGTTATATGATTTAGTGTTTAACATTTCAAGTGGCATCATAATCTAGTTTGCAGTGCCTACACTGACATCTATAGACTCTTTTGTGATGAGCCATCATTCATGATTCAAACTAATCAGCAGGAATAAGACTTGATCAGTACATTTGACTACCTTCTTAACCCTTATGCACTTTATAGGTCTCTTTGATAAGCACATTCATTCGTAATACTGAGTTACAGAGGCTGACCAGGCTGACCGACCTACAAGTGCAAAAATAAGCAATCAAAAGAGATGTGCAAAAGCCCTAAACAAGTGTCACAATGGAAACATCAAAAACAAATGTGCTGCAAATACATGAACAAGGCAATTATAAAAACATGGAAACACAGAAAACACACCATTGTGAACACAGATCATCACTGCATCCACAATGAGGTTAAAACTGAACCATTGAAAGACGAGGCCACATAGAAACGGGATCCAGAAACAAGTAAAAGATAAACTGAAGAACTAAAATTGAGGTCCTTTTTGGAAACTGTGGTTTAAACTGAGGGATGAGAAGCATATATAAACACAAGGCCATTTAAGACAGACTGAGGGCAGCAGGAAACGAAGGAATCAAACTTCTCCTATCAGCCCACAGTTCAAAAGCAAGTTCAAGTTGTCTTTGCAGCACGTTTCTATCCTTGCATTTGTTTTTGATGTCTCTTTGAGGATGTGTTTCTTCTGATGAAGATCATTCTGGCTGTTACAGGTCGGTTAGCTCTGTCAGTCACTGTGCGTGGTCCTCTCAAGCCTCATGTACCACTTGTGAGACTCCGAAGGACCAGCAGCAATGTTAATAATAATAATAATATCATCAGAGTGTTTCAAGACTGTAGTGTTTGAGAGTTAGATAAGCTTAAGTTATTTTTAGTGTTTTGTTCTTTTTATCAGTTCAGCTGCTTTATCTACCGTAGTGTTTGTTTGGGGGTTTATAGTTTGTGTTACAACTGTTTTTGTCTCTGTCATTGTGATGAAGTTACATCTTTTAATGACACGTGGAAATTTTGCTTTTATGTGCAAATAATATTCCACAATTCAGCTATTGCTTTGACATAATTATTGGTTTATTACAGTATCTTTCAACTGTATTTCTATATTCCTACAGAGGTAACAGACCTTTATCTTAACCAAGGAGAAGTTTTCCCTCTGTTCAGAGCCAGCAGACTCCATTGACAAAAACAGTGATAGTACCCAGGAGTTACTGTGCTTTTTTTTTTCTTTCTTTTTTACCATTTAAACTTCATAAATATGCAAATCAAGCTGCAGATTTCCAATTACCGGGAATCTCATTTAAAGCTCAGTCTCACCAGCAAAAACAAGCAATTTCTAAGCAGCTCCTCCAGTCATTGGACTTGCCCTGCAGTCCATCCTTGAGAAGTGCTTTTGCACTGTTTCATTGAAAGGAAAATAAGCTTCACCTTTTTTCAGAGCTGTGAACACACCAACTCACCTCACCAGAAAGTTTTCTATTTTCCCTCAGTTTTCAGTAAGTCAAAACCACTCTCACTACCAGCATTTTTCAAGTTATACCACTTAATTCTGCTACACCATATCTCTGATTTATTGATTACTTACTGTGTGACTTGTGTTAGAAACACTACAGCCATGATTGATCAGAAAACTACTAAAGCTCAGATCCTGTCAGGTTGTTTTCCTTTTGTTTTTTAAAACTTATATATTAAAGTATATTATTAGCAGTGTTTTGGTGTTCATGCAAATAGAAGCTCTAATTTCCTAACATTCCCTGAATGCACCGTTATATTCTGCTGTGTCTTTCCTGCTGAGAAAAATTTCTCATTAATAGTATTTGGCATTTTGTTGCTTTGCATATTTCACTCGCTAATCACTGCTGAATTCTCCCTAATGTGGAGGAATGGAGATGAATGTTTTGAGCAATATTTCACTTGAAGTATCCTGTTAAAGGAACTCTATTTTTCATATTCGATCATGAATCATACAGAGATTGTGATTTTGTATAATTTATGTTTCCATGCTGTAAATAATTATGATACCATACAAAATCTTCATACAAATTTTGATTTTGGCTTTAGCAGAATGTTTGCACTCAATGGGATTGATAGAACAGCACATTTATGATCTGTTACATGATTTTATCTCTAACATGCATCCTCACCGCTGGTTAAAATATCAACATTAACATTTGAAAAGCTTCTTTAGCATCCTACCTCTTTGTCATTAAACATGTTTGCTCAGTGACTATGTATTGCAGAAGGATAAATAAAGTTTAAATTACAGTCAACTGTAGTGGTGTGATTTTGTGTATTTATGTATTTTTTTGGGGGGGTCTGTCTGATAAAAAAAAAAAGTTTCTTGTTGATATTTTGAAATGTAATTTGACCACAGGAGGCAGAGACTACATAATCAAACTGGCTTTATTTAAAAACTGCACTTTTCATACAACAATAATAATGATCATAATAAGGGGTTTACAAAGTGCTTCAACAATTAAGATAAATGAAAGAGCAAAAAGACAAAAGCCCTACAGCAAAAAGAAACTCATTAAAAATTCACTAAAACAATGAACCAGAGGAGACACATTACAGTTTTTCTCAGTCGCTTTGGTTCATTTTTCAGATCAGAATGAAAGTTCTATAACTATTAGTTCAACCTCCACAACACTGTGTCATTTGTATACATCATCATAGCAGTTTCTCATTCCTCTGAACAAATTGCAAATGCTCTTGGACAGGTATCAGTTACTTTGAAACAATTTTCTGCAGTTTTATATTATTATCATTTGCTTCTGTCATGTCAGTCAAAATGAACTATACTTACGAATGATGAATAGTCATTTCCTATCAAAGTAATAGTCCTCATTTCATTGCTTAAGTTGTTACATACAAAATTGTTGAACTAGTTCTCAAAATCTGTCAAGCTGATTTCATACATACCTTTATCATGTTTTTTTCCTGAAAATGTCTCCTAAATTGACCAATTGCGTTCAGGTTAACCTCAGCTTTCACTCATGAGGAGTTGCGTGAAGCATCAGTTGTAACCGATGACAAGCCACTTGTCCACAGTCACTCAGAGCTGAGTCTCATGAACCCTCACTTGGCAAACATATCTAAACCAGCAGGACAGAGTGTGTACCATTTTTACAATTCTGTGACACAAAAATGGAAGGTCAGTGTCGTGGAGGAAGGGTGAGAATGGGTGGAGGAAGGGGAAGGGGACAAAGCCGGGGCAGAGGAAGAAGAGGTGAAGTATATAGGCAAATCCCTGATGAAATTAGGGCTACACTTGTGGACCATGTTGTCAATCACAGCCTCATTATGGCTAAGGCTGGTCGACGGGTAAAACCACATGTAGGGAGAACCACTGTGAATCTTATGTTTGTTCTAAATAAGTGACTGTGATTTATTTATTTTTTTTAAATAGCATAGAGCATATGCAGTAAATATGTGAAACACACGTGTCTTGTACTCAGTTACCTCACTAAATACAGTAATGTGTAACTTTACTGCAGTTTTCAAATGGCTGTACAGGTAGTGTATAGTGCTGTCTTGAGCATTTTCAGGTAGTGTCACCAAGATCTGACTTTTTTGCATTGGAAAACAGAAAGTGTAAACTGTCATAATAAAAACATGACAAAGCCATTTGATTGTCATGTTCATGAACAATGATGTTTGGACTAATAATTTTAATGACACAGACAGTTTCATCGACATGAATTCTTGCTTTTGAAGAATCAACTATTCATTTTGAGCAAGTGATGCACTTTTGCAGGTTATCAACTAGGTTTTGCAGTTTGTATTAATTTTTCTGAGAAAGCTCTAACTGCTGTGCCAATGTTATTACTGATGTGATAAATGCACCAAAGCCATTGAGAAAAACTGTAAGAGACCAAGAGCGTACTCTGAAACTGCTTTAAATGTGAAAAATATAGATAATATTTTAAGCTGCAAAAACCCAAATGACTGTTTTACCGATCTTTAAAGAAAGTGACTCGGTTGCTGTAACATTGGCATACAAACACAAAATATTTGGTTCATGGAGCCTCTTTTGATCGTTAGTCAAAATAAAATGATTGCGTTCCTCTTTTTCTGTTTGGCAATCGTCTCAGAATCCACAGAGGTGTTAACGTGAAACTGTATCAGAGGAATGTGTTAGTTAGAGTCATTGTCTGCCTAATGTAGTTGATCATGACAGAGAGATGGGTGTAAAGTGGACGTGGCTTAGGTGCAGCTCATTTCATTAAAGAGACATGGCCCAAAACGGAGGATTGTGCATTGTCATTGCACATGAGTACAACTGTACTAAAATCAATACCAGAATAAGGGATCCTTCCTACTTGACAAATGATCATGGTGTTTGTATTTGTGAACTTTTTTTTTGTTCTACTGGTTTTACGCCAGAGTTTTTAAGGGAACCCTTTTAAATGTTGATGGGACTTTCCCATCCCTGGTTGACCTCCTCAGCATTTTTTTTCCAATATTTGCAAAATTACTAACAGGAAAATTAATGAAAACAAAAAACTATGGCGAGAAAAAGGGGACATAAGCAAAAAAACAAAAATGACAATTGGTGTAAATACAGTTAAAATACATCAAAAACATTCCAAAATTCTCAGAAACAGTAATAATATTATTATTGACAACACTTAAATATTATTTATTGATAAAACAATGCCACTATATTTCACTAATGTTGGTCTGTTAATAGTGCTAATGGTCAAAGAATTACAGGAATTTAATTTTTGCACATCACTTTCTGTCTCCAGCCTTAAAAACAGAACAGCCATACTGGGACAGAAAAGTCACTGTCATGACATTGGTGTTGTAGTAATGTGTTTTGACTAACCAAGTTACCACCAGGTAAATACACAAGAATTAGGGGACTGTAAAACAAAAAAGGTTTCCCACTGTTTCAATGTGTACAGGGCAAAATGGACAGAGATATGCTGTCATGTTTATGGGGTTAAAAAAAAATAAGCGTTCAATGTTCCTCACAGGAGCTTTCATGGCTGAATTTGAGGCCTTTAAGTGGAAGAGATGTTTGTTAGATGGACACCTACCTGACTATTAACTCTGTTTCTTTCCTTGTCTTAAGCAGAGGTTCACATACAGTGAGTTTAGAGGTTTAAAAATGAAATGGTACTATCCATCATTGTTTATGTCAGTAGTAAAGAGTATAAAATGGAAAAAGAAGTAAGAAGTGCTTCAGATACAGTAAAAAATGTGATATATTTAAAAATAAACAAAAACAAAAACAATTTCAAAAGAAAACATTAGTTACTTGGAAACTTGTGTCCTCAAATATCAATGTGATTTTTCAAACTATCAAAATTGAGAATGTCACGTGTATGTATTTAAACCCTCTTACCTGAGCAGAGATCAGAAACCACAGACAGCGAAGAGACAAGGAACAAGTTTGGTTTATTGAGAAGATACACAGAGAGAGCTTTTGATTCAGAATAATCTACAGCATCAAATTAACTTTGTTTTTTGCGGATTTATCTGAATATTTTTGAAGACCAAGTCCAGAGTTATCATTTGAAGATGTCTGGTTTCCAGTTAGCCACTGGTTCAGAGATCTTTTCAAGATCCACCACCTACACGGTGCAGTCCATCCTCGGACAGGGCTCTTTCGGCACAGTCGCAAAGTGCACCAACATGTGCGACAACACAACTGTTGCCATCAAGACCATGAAGTACAAGGACCGTTTGGACGACGCAGCATGGAAAGAGGTGAGAAGCGCAAACTAGCCGTGCTTACTAAAAACTTAGGCAGATTGTTTTCTATCCACAGTATTTGATCACTGCTCTTTAACGTGTGTAAATCCAAACTAAAACCTGTCTGTCATCTGTCATGTGTCCTCAGGTGAATGCCCTCTTAAAACTGTCAGTGCTCGACTCGGACAAGTCCAACATTGTCCAATTTCACAAAGCCTTCACTGACAGAGGACATTTTTGTATAGTGTTAGAGCACTTGGACAAAAGCCTCGCTGATTTTATGGAGGAGAGGAACTCGGAACCTCTCCTTCTGAGCGAGAACAGACCGATCATCCAGCAGGTATGAGCAAATGAATTTATTTCTGATTTTAAACAAGAACAAATACTGATGTTCACGTAACATCCTGAGCTTTGTTGTTTAGTTAATGACCTTTATGACTTCTTAGGTCGCCAATGCTCTGGATCATTTAAGGACCATCGGTATGATCCACGCAGACCTTAAGCTGGACAACGTCATGCTGGTGGATCATCAACATCAGCCCTACAGAGTCAAAGTGGTTGACTTTGGTCTCGCAGAAGACGTGTCAGCAGCAACACTGGGCTCATGCATCGGGACCCGTCGATACAAGTAAGGAACCAGAACCACGTCTGATATCTCAGCTGCTTATTGGGGGCTTGCACATCACCACATACATATACACACACACACACACACACACACACACACAAACACACACAAACACATACATCCATACACACACATACCTACACCACACATACACACATAGGAAAAACCTAACAAAGGACAGATCCAGAGATATTCATTCAGAACGGGAAATATTTTATTATTGTTGTTTACTGTCTGACTGTGTGGTCGATTGATTGGTTGATTTGAGATGGTTATTGTCAACTATTGTGAATAAATCTGAGTTCAGTGAATGGAGGAGACACAAGGAGTTCATACAGCCTCATTTCAGTACACCTTTACTTTTTTTTTACAGAAACAATCTTCATTGTTGCGTGGTGCTCGGTAATGCCCGGGACCCGTAACATAGTGAAACCGGAAACTCAGAGTTTCCTAACTCAGAGTAGATCAACTCAGAGTTAAGGATTTGACTCAGAGTTTGTTGAACCACCTACGTGAAACAGACCCCTGGAGGCTAACTAATGCCACATTACAAAACAACGCAATTTCTAAAATTTCTGCTTCAGCCATATTTAGGGGAGAAGTTGGAGCTGGAAAAGAGCAGGTGGTTAGCACAGTCAGTGAACAGTCAGTGTATTCAAAACTTTTCTTAACTAAACAGCCAAACTTATTCTAACTTATCTTAACTAAAACTTAACTTACTTTAACTTAACTTATCACAACTAAACAACTTAATTTACTATAACTGATCTTAACTAAAACTTAACTTATTCTAACTTAACTTATCAAAACTAAACATCTTAACTTGCTATAACTAAACTTATCATAACTAAGAAACTTATTCTACCTTAACTTATATAATTTAACAAACAACTAAAGTTATCTTAATTATCTTAATAGCTTAATTAAACTACGGCCCAGCGTGACCCCCAAAAGGACTCTTGTTTGGACGGTTGTTTCCCATCCGTCCAGCAGTACTCTTGGGAGTCACCTTGGACCCCTTGCACCTTAGTTTTAGGAGCGCTTTTAGATTCCTCTTCCACTTGGTGTCAGGAGCAGCAGAGATGAGCCGGGTGGATGGAGGGATGGTGGATGGAGGGGGTGTAGGGGTCCTCAGTGGGGCCGTCCACCACTCCTTCCTCCTGGATAGCTCCTCCGGGTCCTCGGGTTTCAGACCTGGCCACTGGTCCTCCTCTGTCAACAGCGCCTATGTTAAAAGGTAGGAAATACTGTCTTTTAATCCGACAGATATGTGAATGATATTGTGACTACAATGATTCTGTGAAGTTTTTAATTTTGAGACAATTGGGTTTTAAGTATGTCATTGCTTTTATTTTACAAATAAACTTTTTCCTGATTTCTTGAATTGTCACTCATGTTTTTGTCTTCTAGGTAGGGCTTTGTATTAACTCATTCAGCCTTGGGTAACATGACTTTTTTATAGTACCTTTAATATGTTCAGCCCTTTTATAAATCAAATCAAAGAACCTGTTTTTGTTTTATTACTAAATGTCTTTTTTTTACGTCATGTGAAGAGCATCAGTACAGGCTATTCATGTCTGGAATTGCTCTCACTGTAGTTCATATTCACTGACTCCACATGGTGGTGCTAGCTCCCTTGATAAAACAGGCTAGGAAACAGACGCACTGCTGCCCACCTGATGGACAGGAAAAGCATTACCTCATCCCCTCTTTCATTCCTTCAGGTAAAAATAGACAGATTAAGACTGGGCTTTGATGAGAAAACCTACAGAGGAGGTGTGGAAGCAGAGAGAGAGGAAAAGAGGAGGAAAGGGGCTATGGATCGTTCTGCTCCAAATCCAATTCCTAATAGCTAGAGGGAGGGTGGGTGGGAGGAGGGAGTAGAAAACAGTCAAAGAAAGAGAAGAGGGGGAGTGAAGATATCATGTCTAACAATTAAGTCCTGCCTTCAGGGCCTGAGGAAGAAGCTTTGTTGAGAACATATAAATTGCTCATTGAGCACTGGCTTTCTGCACTCTCACATACTACTGGCTCTGAGGATTCTGCCTTTAAGATAGCGGCTGCAGCATAGGACGACTAGATTCTAGTCACAGTATTTAGGGATCTATTTCCACCAGTCTTCCTGGCCAAAATCCCCTCTTCTTTAAACACAAACCTTAGTCTACTCCCAAGAGCGGTTGAGAAAGCAGATCATGGGTCGTTACTGTACTTCTCAGGATTACAGATCCATAAAGTTGTCCTATAGTTCTTTGTACAAGCCAGTTATATAAACCTCTGCTCAGCTGTCACCTGAAGTTTAATCTGCTTGCTTCTGTCTAAGCCAGCCTGTGAAGGTCTTAGTTTTAGTCTTTTGTGTGTTGAATGCAAGATGAAGAAAGAGTGAGGTACCAAAAAAGGTCAACCAAATGGGACCCACAATATAAAAACCTACTCTGCAATCTCTACCAGCCAAGTGTTTTTATACTTCAAGGCCCAGAGGTCTAGATGGATCATTGGATTGCTTATGTGAGATAGAAGTTAGCATTAAATTTCAAAATTTCAAAAATACGATGATGGAGGGATTGTTATGATACGATCAATACACTTGATGGTCCCCTTAGAGGAAACTTTTCTTGGACTCCAAGAGCAGCACAGATAAAGCTGCCAACTGATGACATTAAGTACTAGACCTAACAGAGACCTGTGCTGTGTCTGAATTGCCCGCTCACATACTACATAATACTGCTACATACTACTGCTATATCCTACTCCTACATACTAAACACATTGGCCCAATTCGGACACACTAGACGAGCGGTGGGGAAAGACGACCCCTGCAGGCAGAGAGTAGGTACTGCGCCCATCCAGACAGTGATAACGGAAGCCCCCCCCATCTGCTGGCCTGGCTGTAGTACTGCAGCGAGTACTGTACAATGATTGGTGCGCACCCGTGACTTATTGCGAATCATCACCAGAAGGCACCTGCACCTGTTTGTCCAGACACCGCAAAAGCAACTCTGTTCTACCATGACATTCTTTGATTTTTCAGCATGGCCCAAGCGGGCCATACACTCTGCTCAACAGCACCGTGCCCATCATTGACCTGCGCCCCAACCTTCGCCTCTCTTGTCGCTCGCTTGCTGCCCTTACTGCTGCCATCGACCTCAGCGTGACCTGAGGCTGGCCAAAGGACATAGAGGTGCTGCTGTTTGTTTTTTGGCTGGCCCATGCAGCGTCCTACAGGGTGGTGGCTGCAGCCTGCGACATCCCCAAGTCCACTGTGCACGATATTGCGCACAGGGTGACCAAGGCTGTCATGGGCATCCTGGGCCGCACCATCCGCCTCCCCAACCCTGACCAGCTGGAGGACATCGCTGCTGGCTTCAGCCGCCTCGGGGGAAGTCCAGCTCTGCGGACCGTGGTCGGGGCAATTGATGGCTGCCACGTCCGCATCAAACCACCTGCAGCACATCAGCTGGACTTCCTCAACCGTAAGCTGTTTCACTCAATCCAGCTCCAGGCCATCTGTGACCACCAGGGGAGGTTTCTTGATTTGTTTGTGGGCTTCCCTGGCTCCGTTCACGATGCCCGTGTACTGCGGAACAGCCCGGTCTACTACAGGCAGCTGTACCCACCGGAGGGCTGGTGCATCCTGGGGGATGGAGGCTACCCCTGTTTGGGTGCCCCCATCTGCCTCCTGACGCCTTACCGGGAACCTGTGGCCAACCCCGTGCAGGCCCGGTTCAACACCATTCACGGAAAGGCATGGAATATTATCGAGCGGGCCTTCGGAATGATGAAGGCTCGTTGGCGGTCCATCTTCCTCAGGGCCCTTGAGGTGAAGCCAGCCTTTGCATCAGAGGTGGTCACCTGTTGTGCCATCCTCCACAACATCTGCATGGACAACGGTGACCTCTTTGAGGCCGAGCCTCCCCCTGAGGAAGATGGACTGCCTCCCTGTTCTGATGCAGCATCAGGGGAAAACCTGCGGGACCGACTGGCTGCAGCAGTGTCTGCCCCAGAGGTTGCGGCTGCTGTCCTCCAGGACCACGATTATTGTTGATTGTTGTTTTGTTTTTGTTGTTGCTGCTACCGCTCTGTCCTTTCGCCAGTCTCAGGTCCACTTTGTTGTCAATGGCAGCAGTGAGAGCAGCAAAAGAGTGATGTTAGAGGCGAAGGTTGGAGTGCAGGTTAACTATGTCATCCAAAAACTGCAGAATGCTGGGCACGGTGCTGTTGACACCGTCTTTTGGTATATTTTTTTCTTTTTAAATGTGCGGCCTCAAATAGGGCAATTACTTATGTTGTGTTTCAGTTCTGTATGATTCATTTCTGTTTTGTATGATTAAATATTTTTTGGGGAAAAATGCTCCTGACCCTGGTGTGATTCTTGATGACCTGAAACATGAAATACACTGAGAGAAGTCCATCTGCTTAGGTCAGATCTGCTAATCACCTCCACCAACCTTTATAACACAGAGATACAATTGACACATCACATTGCTTGGACCAAACCATTTTATTCCAGAGAAGTTTTGCCATAGAATGCTGCTGTGTGTGGCACGTTTCCTAGCAGCATATATCACCCTGACTAGTTTCACTGATTGTTGACTCACCTGAGTCACTAACAACACACCAACAAATGTTGACGACCCTCCCAGGGCTTGGAGCCAGTAGGCTTCAAACTCCTTTCTTTAGTTATTATGACTCACAGAGGTTAACTACTCTCCTGTCCCCACCAGCATTTAGAACTGAAGACGCTTCTTAGATGAGAGGCAAATCATCTTCAGGAAAACTCCAAGTGGAGATGCACTCAAGATCCTGTAGCCATTTCCCAACAAGGTTCGACAGTGCTTCGCAGACACACACACACACACACAGTCATAGTGCCATAACACAAACAGAGGCATTTAAGAAACAAAAAACCGTAACATTTAAAATGTTGGCCCCCCTACTCAAACATAAAGCAATCGCCTAAATTAAACATACACAAACTGAAATCCTCAAACATAAAACTCCTACTGCCTCCTGGCCAGCAGGTCCAAAATGTTTAAAAAGCGCTTCTCCCTCTCCCGAGCCTCCCTGTCCCTTCTGTCCTCCCTCTCCTGTCTTTCCCTCTCTCTTCTTTCTTCCCTTTCCCTGTCTCCTCTCTGTCCATCCACTCCCTCCACCTCCTCTTCTCCCTGGCTTCAGCCTCCCTCTCCTGCTCCTCCAATCTGGCCTCCTCCTCCTCCTCCCCCTCCTCGGTGGAGAGCTGCCCTGGCTCCGAGGGTTGGCGGGTGGTGAGGTGGAGCGTGGAGCAGCGGTGGAGGCGGAAGCCTCTGTGGGCGCGGAGGGCCATGTGGTGGAGCTGGAGGGCCATGTGGTGGAGCTGGAGGTTGATGGGGAGCTGCAGGGTGTTTCTGCAGGCATCACCGTGGCTGAGAGTGATGAGGATACACCAGCATCCTGGCCAGCTGATGCGATGAGGCATGGTGGCGTGATGTTGGGCCGCTCTGCTAAAGCCTCATCCTTCAGCTCGAACCATGGCCAGGATGCTGCTGTATCCTCTCCACCCTCGGTGCTGACGCCTGTCTTGGGAACCTTCAGTCTCTGTGGGACATGAGAGTATCATGATTAACCTTCATAATTAACAGGAGGATTGACTGTTGATGGCAGAAGTTGGCCCAACATACTCGATATTTGTCTTTCAGGTTGTCCCTTTTTTTTACCGCACTCTCAGCTGTGATGTGCGGCAGGAGGCTGGGGCTGTCCTGCAAGAACCTCCTGAAGGCCAAACACAGTGTATTGTGAGGAAACAATTAGACACACGTATTGTATGAAGAATCATGAAACATATGAATGGCTTGACTTACTCAAATGCCTTCCTGGCCGTATTTCAGTCTGCTTGTCCGTCCCTGAGAAATACACATGCTACTGGAATGAACAAACCTTGGCTAAAAGTGGTAGAAGACAGAAAGCTGATGAATGTTTGGGTCTGCTCTCTGTCCCCTCCAAGTCATGTTACAGTTTTTGACTCTTTGAATGGTAATTGTGCAAGTGATGGATGCTGCTGTATTATATTCCTGCCCTGCTTTAGAAATTCACAAAGTAGCTTTTCCATTACTTTTAGCCTTCATTCACTCACGTGGTGAATGTTTGTTCAATGAGATCTGCCTGATTACTGCAGCTGTGCAGTTTAATGATGGAAAAAGTGAGCTTTACCTCCATGATGTCGCCACATATTTGCTCATAAAATGATTACTTGGGCAAATATGACACCATGACATGACAAAGAGATACAACCACACATTTTTTAGGACAGTGTGTGAAGTTACATGAAACTTACATCTGTACTGCTGCGGTCCTGCCTGCTGCTGCTGCTGCTGCTGCTCAGACATGGTGCGCGCTGCTGTGGCCAGCCAGCATTCGCGATGCATCTAAATAGGCAACTGCTGGTGGCGCTAGCATCACATGCGCTTCTACAACTTTTAAGAGGACAAAGAAGAAGCCCGCGGTGCATTTTGGGTCGGTAGCATGCCCGTAGGTTGCACCACGACCATACTACAATGTGGGCGTGTCTAGAATCTGGAGTAGTATCTGAAGTAGCAAGCTACTCGCTCCGGTGGCCAATTCGGACATGCTACATACTACTTCGACTTCTGTGATGCTGCTGTGGCAAAAAAATTTCCCCCATGGGGGATCAATAAAGGAATATTCTATTCTATGGTCAAAAGAAACACACCGACAATAGACAACAATGACAAAGAACAAGATACAGTAAGGTGAGACAAGACAAACAAGATCAAAAAGGAAATGATGAGATAACAAGATAACACCATGACATTGTTGCACAATCTGGCTATATTTTAGGAAACATTAATTTAAATACCTAATTGAGGTGGGCATGAATGAGTTTTTAAAACGGTTCAGTCTACATTTGGGGACTCTGTATCGCCTACCAGATGGTAGAAGTTCATACTCAAGGTAAAGGATAAAGCTCACTGTGCTTGCCTGAGAACAGACTGTTCATACATGGGAAGAGTTTTCAGTCCTCCCTACCACTCTATGGCAGTCTGCACCAGATGAGCACATTTAGGTTTGGATTTTAACTACCAGTTCAGATATAAACTGAAAGTACAAATATATTTATGATTAAATGGCAAAAATTATGACTTTCCATTTAAATTCACAATGTATTTGGATTTTGATATGCAATAAAAGATACAACTAATTTAAAAGTTATGTGGCACACACTTTTAAAATAGTTACTAAACAGATGGTTGAGATTGCAAACCAGGTTGCTGATGAATGGTTAAAATAATTTCCAAAGCAGCTCATTCTGTTAAAATCAACATTATGATGATAATGAAAATAATAACCTTGCTGATTTGAGACTGAAAAAGTCTTCAGATAAAGCAATCTGTAAGTTAGAAATCATGAAAAGAAAATTAATAAATAACTAGTTGATTTAAGGTTGAGTTGAGTTAATGAATACAATACAAGTATTAGGTGAGGGATAAACAGAGAACAATGCACTAATAGATCTTGATCCAGAGTTTAATTTAAAACCATAACTAGGGCATAGGTATCTTTAAAAATCATGGATACCCTGAGCTTTAGTTAATCTCCCTTCAAGCTACATTAGCCGGCATTACCCAGTTGTCCTGAACAGTATTTCAGTGGGTTTTGGCTGTGGCCTGATAATGTTTGATAATTCTTTGCAAGTGTGAAATGTGCCTTTGGGGGAGTGATATGACACATCTGAGTAGCTTATTGTACTTCACCATGCTCATCAGCCTGCTGAGAACATGAACACTAAAAGCTTTTTTTCTTTCCCAAACTGGCAGTTCTACTTTCCACCAAGGTTAACTGGTAAGGAAGTTGTTACACCCCACCCAAAGGCGGCCCTATGGGGCTAACAACAATCCTCATCTTTTAACCCATTAAATTAAGAAAAAACCTTTAAAAGTTTAACAAGTGATTTATTTGTGACAACATAACAAAATTGCAAACTAAACACAAAGAACCCACAACACAAATGAGAGGCAGCAGGGCAGCAGTTCCCTTACCAAATGCCTCTCCAGACTGCAGGCAGCTCTGGGCTTTTAGACTCTCAGCACCAGGTGAGTCTGATTGGCACTCAAGTGATTTCACCTGGGCAGCTATGGAGAGACAAAAGGGGAAAAACACAGGCAAAACAAACATACAGCCATAATAGAGTGAATTGGCTCTAGGTTAAAAAACATTTCACTCTATATAACACGAATGCCAAGTATTTAGTGTTTATTCAATTTTCTTTCCTCAGAAATTACTTTGAAACTAAGTCTAGTACTCAGCTGCAATGTGAACTGATTTAATGTGAGCTTAAAAGAAAATGATCTAATCAGAAACAAACACATTCTTGACTTCACCTAATTCAGAATCATGATTAAAAATTAGGAGAAAAAATTTATTGACATTTAAATTGATTGATACACAATTTCTAGAGGGTAAATTGCTTCTTTGTCTGTGGTATAGGCAATTAAACAAATTTTCTCACAGCAAGGAGACCAAAAGCACAACTACTTTAAACCAACACTCCAAATAAAACAACAAGGAAGGTTACCAATTGAAGGTCAAATATTTCATGTATGAAGATAAGAGTATAGCTCAGTGGTCCTACACATTGATGTAATTCACAAACTGAGATATTGACAAATTTTATGCAAATCTAAGGCACAACTTACCTGTTGTGGTGGTAATATTTGAACCTGTTGATGGTCACCTGTGGCGAGGGATGCCGTCAAGCTGTAGAAAGAGTCCTACTGGGCCTTTTTGGCCTGTGGGATTCCAGATGAGGTGGCTTAGGCATCTAATCAGGATGCCTCGAATGCCTCACTGGTGAGGAGTCCAGGGCATGTCTCACTGGTAGGAGACCACAGGGAAGACCCAGGACATGCTGGTGGGATTGTGTCTCTCTGCTGGCCTTGAAATGCTGGATGAAGTGGCTAGGGAGAGGGAAGTCTGAGCTTTCCTGCTTAGACTGCTGCCCCCCTTGACCCTTCAAGATGGATGGATGATGAAGATTTTCTGTTCCACATTTCATAGCAATCTCACTGTAGACTGATGAAATCATAGATGTAGATTATGGATAAGTTGTAGTTTCAACATGGTAAACAACTAATTTATTTAATTGGCTGTCATCAAAGTTGATTGGATGCAAAGGGCACAGCAGCTTCTCAGGGAGCTAACCACCCCCACCCCCACTGTCTCATCACAGAAATTCAGCTTTAGGACAATCAGCCAATAAGCAAACGCCAAGGACACGGCTGCCCCTATAGGACTTTGTGTTGCTTTTCTTCTCTTTTCATGAATATTACAGCTGTTGTAACTGGATATAATTTTCATTTGGAACATACTAGCTGGTGGAATTAACACGTTCATTAAGAAGGTTTAGAATCTTAAAAACTGCAGATATTAACAAACAACCCTTTCAACCCTGCCCCTGGTAAAGATCTAGGCAGTTGAAAATGGTTATGTGCATGCGCCTGCTCTCATAGTGCTGCACATTGGAAACTGATTGGTTGAACTCAAAATTGCCATGGAAGTAGAATTTATTCTTTATGGGGTTTTTTTCTACATTGTATACAGTGCATTGAAACATACATCCTTCAAAATATAAGGCACACTGCGCTGTATGAAGTCCATTAGCCACTGGAACATGCAGGGTGGCAACACTTAAGATGGAGAGATGTAAAGAGAGTGAGATTGTAGCTGAAAGGTTCAAGGCAAGTACCAAGAAAATAAATCAGAAATCAGATGTGATTGTCAGAGTGAAAACAGGATATAAAGCCCATCAGGTAGAACAGCCTTTCAGCAACATCTTCGAGTTGCTCACAATAGAGGGAAAATGCTCGGACAAGGACAATTACTGTAATGACTAATGTTATGGATGGAGATGGGGCACAACAGACGTAAATGCAAGCACTCTGAGTAGGTTCTTGTCTGGTTTTCATTTATTTGTCACAGATCATGGGACCTTTTGGTGCCACTGAGATATACTGTATACTTTTTAAAAAGCACTGAAAAGAGTCAAAATGTTGTCACTTGATGCAATAAACAGATGTTATTTGTTTTAATGTAATTTTTATAAAGCAGAATACAAGCAAAAAAATGGTTGAGGTGTGCACTCATAACATGAAGTCACATACATTTTTTTTCTTTGATTATATTTTAATGAGCATAACATAATTTTGACTGGACTCAGAGTATAAAAACATTAATTATTAAAACAATTAGGTTAAGTCAAGTCAAATCAAGCACAATCAAAAACAACTTACATTGACCAAAATGCTCTTCAGTCAAGGAGACAACAACAGTGAGGTAAAATACTGGTTAAATGACACTGACCCCACAAAAACACATTAATTTACTGTGCATAACATACAAGATTAAATGTGAGAATAAGAAAATCAAAGGTTAAAATGATAGCTAAAGTTGTCATGAAGACCT